TTTGCTTCTGCAAAGTGGGGGATAACAGTGGTACCTGTCTCCTGGCTTTGCTCAGGTTATTGCTCAGCATGTTATCTATCGTTCAAAGAGCCAGATGGCAGAGCATCAAAGGAGGAGGGAGTGTTGCAGGAGATTGGAAGAGTTAAAGGTTTAGAAGTAGGATTGAGGAATGTGGAGAATACCAACACCACTTCCCATGCCCATGGGTTGTGGGGAATAGGAAAATGAGTAGCACCCTTTCTAGAATTCAGCAAGGGAATCATGTTCCTTAGGGATTACAGTTACTTTTCAGTTAAGGCAAGGAATGAGCTACAAGGTTAAAAGTGGAAAGAAGTTAATTTACAATCGAATGAAGTTTCCAGGGCACAGAGGAAAGATCTGGGAAGGAAGAAGGTGTAAGGTAGAGAGGAAGCCCAGAGGAGGATAGCAGATTGGAGATTAGGATAAGGGAGAAGAGACCTACGGAGGCAGAAGCACTGCACAAGACAGCTTAGGCTGAGCAGAACAGGAGGTGGTGAACTATGGCCGGATCTAGCCAGCTGCTTATTTTTGTAGAGCTCACAAACTAAGAATAGTTTTTACATTTTAAATGGGTTTTTAAAAATGAATATGAGACTATTTCATGATACATGAAAATGGTATGGAGTTCAATGTCAGTGTCCATAAAGTTTTATTGGACCATAGCCATGCCCACTCATTTCCACATTGTCTATGGCTGCATTCCCACTACAACGGCAGAACGGAGTAGCTGCAATAGAGATTATATGGCCCACACAGTGGAAAACATTGGCCCTATCTGCCCTTTATAGAAGTTTGTTGGCCAGGCCCAGTGGTTCATTCCTGTAATCTCAGTACTTTGGGAGGCTGAGGTGGGCAGATTGCTTGAGCTTAGGAGTTTGACACCAACCTGGGCAACATGGCAAAACCCCATCTCCAAAAAAAAAAAAAATCCAAGCATGTTGGCATGCACACCTGTAGTCCCAGCTACTCAGGTGGCTGAGGTAGGAGGATAGCTTGAGCCCAGGAGGTGGAAGTTGTAGTGAACCTTGTGTTCATGCCATTGTATTCTATCCTGTCTCAAAAAAAAAAAAAAATTGCTGGACCCTGCTCTAGCAAATCATTCATAGCCTGCAATATGAATGGCACCTCCAGAAGTTGTGCAACACAGATGACCTGGCTCTTGGAGCACTCACTTTGGATGGTGATAAAGGATTACAGTGAGGAGAAGTATGGATGGAACTACATGGCCTCAAGGCTCTTTTTGGAATGTGGGCACAAAGTTGTCTTGTTAGAACAAAGCAAGGCTGTCAGCCTGGATTCAAGCCACCACCTCTTGGCTGGTGAAGAACTAGGTGTGGTAGACACTTCTGGTTGCCCACACAATTTTTGTTTCTCATTTTGTTCCTTATTAACAGAGGCTGATTTCATCAAGGTAGCAATGTACCCTGTTAAAAATAATAATCTCAATAAGAAAAGTCCCCAAAAATGATGGGAACACATCAATAGGACACAGAACCAGCTTATAGGTGTTCCTAATGACCAATCTGGGACAATTCCATGTTAAAATAAATTATGATAGTAAAGAATTGTAACTCATCAAATAGAATAAAAATCTTTGCGTCCATACGGAAATACATTAAAAAATGGAAAAAGGAAAGCTTTCCATATGATACAAGGCAAACTAATATGTATAAAAGGAAAGACAGAATTAGAAAATGACCATCTTATGGTTTCAGGCAAGAATTATCAATGGATGCTAAAACTAGTTTGATGAGAAACATGATATGTATGTAGTTTCAAAGCCTCTCCCCACAGATTCTTATAATTTCAAAGGGTAAAATAAGGACTTTACAGTACGAAAATCTGACAGGTACCTACCTTACCACCTTAACCAAGTGATCAAAGCTAATATCATTAGTAATAGAACAAGTCAAAATAGGGTACCCTCTGCTATGATACATTGGAAGGGATACAGCATCACTTCTGTGGTATTCTAGCCAAAAATACCTAACCTGAATCATGAGGAACTGTCAGACAAACCCAAATAAGGGATGTTCTGCAAAGTAACTGGTCTTTGGTATTCAAAAATACCAACAACATGAAAGGTAAAGACAAATTGAGGAACTGTTTCATATTAAAGCAGACTAAAGCAACATGACAACAAAATGCGATGTGTGGTCCTGGATAGGTTCCTGGACCAGAAGAAAGGCTTTTTCTTTGCTATAAAGGACATTAGTGGGATGATTGGCAAAAGGCTGTGGCTTAAATAATAGTATTGTATCAATGTTAATATTCTGATTTTGATCATTGTATTGTGGTTATGTAAGAGAAAGTCTATTTTTAGGAAGCACACACCAAATTAGAAGTAAATGAACATCATGGGTGCATGAGAGAGAGAAAAAAAAAATGATAAAGTAATTTTGGTAAATGTTAGTATTGGAAAATTTGGGTCAAAAATATACAGGAATCATTTGTACTATTTTTGCAAATTTTATCTGTTTGAAATTATTTCAGAGCAAAAAGTTTTTAAAAAATACTTATTTACCCCCAGGTACTCGTGCAGTAAGATATTCATATACCTTATCCTAGCCAATGGTTTGTAGTTTTTAGTCTAAAGGATGGGGCTTCTCAGGAAATGATTATTTTTCTCATAAAAAGGGAGAGATGGCCGACTGAGGTAGCTCACGCCTGTAATCCCAGCACTTTGGGAGGCCAAGGCAGGGGCATCACCTGAGATTGGGAGTTTGAGACCAGCCTGACCAACATGGAGAAATCCTGTCTCTGCTAAAAATACAAAATGGTGGCACATGCCTGTAGTCCCAGCTACTTGGGAGGCTGAGGCAGGAGAATTGCTTGAAACTGGGAGGCCACTGCACTGGGCCACTGCACTCCAGCCTAGGGAATAAGAGCGAAGTTCTGTCTCAAAAAATAAAAAGGGAGAGACTTGGCTAATGCCTTTTGCCCTTTGTCCTTCCCCTTCCTGCTTGGAAGAAGAGCTTAGTACCTGGATGTGGAGCAACCATCTGTGATTATGAGGACAGAAGGAGCAGGAAGTAGCACGGGTCTTGGTGGCTTCTTTGGACATCAGCCCTGGACTGCCTGCCTCTGGATAAGAAATCTGTTAGTCCGCTGTAGTTACGTTTATAGTCAAATCCAACTCCAACTGAGCTAGACCATCTAAGTCTCCCAATGGTGTTTACAGTTTTGAGTTTGTGTGGCTTGACTCCTCAATCTTCTTCACAGACGGCTACTTCTGGCTGCCCCTCACATGTGGGTGTTCTGCAAGTTTGGGTCCTTGGACTTCTCCTCCCTCTATGGTCTACATGGGCTGCCTTATCCACTCCCAATTACCATTTAGACTCTGTGATTCTAAATAACCATCTTCACCTAGAATTTTCTCCTGATTTGCAGACTACATATCCAGCTACCTACTGGATATCTATGCCTATGGTCCATATTCACTTCAACAATTACAAAGCTAAATTGCCTTTTCAGCTACACATACACAATCAAACACACACACATCCAGCCCACAACCTAACCACTTTCCCAAGCCAGAAATGCAGGAGTCATCATCCTCTCTTCTTCCTACTTTCTTACCCACTACATGCAATTAGTCATCTAGATCTTGATGACTCTACCTCCTAAGCAGTTTTTGAATCCATCTCCTCTTCTCTGTTCCCATCAGGTAGATGCCTCATCATCTGTCACTGTTATTTTTTGTTAACCTTTTAAACAGTTTCCCTGGCTCTGTCCTTTGTTCCCCTAACACAAACTGCTATCCATTATTTTCTAAAATGCAAATGTGATCACCATACTCTCCTATGTAAAAATTTCCTACCATTTCAACTGCTAATGGTAGTAGCCCCCATCACAACACTCCAATTCCTACTGTAGCATAACAATGCTCATAGGATAACCTCTTGGCTGCCCTTCTGTGCCATGTCTCAATGAGGGAAGGACTGTTAACTGCCCCTGGCTGGTTTATTGTATTCTTAGGAGGCAAATTCTCCCAAGTCTCCATAAGCCAGTGATCTTCCTTTGGCCCCTACCTTCTCTTACCTATAGCAAGTTTTACCTCACTTTATTCCATGTCAAAAGACCTGCAGTGTTCTTTTACTTGTCACAAAAATAAATTTTATACACTGATCAAAATGAAGTGTTTGAGCCACTGTGTGTGATAAGTGAGGGTTGAACACTGCCTGAATCCAACAAACACCATTCATATAGGTGACATTTTAATCGGGTTGTGGTAGCCCAGGTAGGCAAGCTCCAGGGATGTTTATAACACAACCTGGCCCCACATTATAAGTCTCCTGTCTTGGCTGCTTTTGGGTTAAGCAATCCGGGGCTCCCTGGACTGATTCCTCCATTTTCTGAGGCAAGCTGCTGGGGTTTGTGTGGAATGCGTGATTAAGAATCTTCAATCGGGCTGGGCGTGGTGGCTCACGCCTGTAATCTAAGCACTTTGGAGGCCAAGGCGGGCGGATCACCTGAGGTCGGGAGTTCAAGACCAGCCTGACCAACATGATGAAACCCCGTCTTTAAAAAAAATTAATAAAAAATAATAATAATAAAATTAAAAAAAAAAAAAAAGAATCTTCAATCATAGAGCAGGAAACAAGAGTACCCAGCCTTGAGGTACCAGCCATTCACTTTTCCCTTAATAACTTTCCCCCTTCTTTTCTAGCAACGTACTTAAAAAAAATAAATAAATAAAGTGGAGCCTACTAAAGGCAGAGTAGGACATTCCTCCTATGAGCAGAGTTAGCCTCCTAGAGCTTCTATGGTATTTATTACACTATAATACAATTATGTGTTTACATGTCTGTTTCCCTGTGTTTGGTTTCTTTTAATAGCATCCAAATGCAAATCTTGCATTTTTTTTGGTATGTCCCTCTAGCAGCATATAATAGAGCCTGACATAGAGAGTAATCAGTAAGTATCTATTGATTTATTAAATGAATGGATTTCTTTTCTTTCTTTCTTTTTTTTTTTAGGTTCCAGGTAGAGTGTAATGGAAAGAGCCTGGACCCTGGTACTATTCCCAGTTCCTCTATGAACTTGCTATGTGACTATAGTCTCTCAGTAGATCCTTCACCTCATCAATGAAGTGGAGTCAGTACCACCCACTTTGGAAGAATTGTTTTGAAGATTAAAAGAGTTACTGATCATTATCCATTCAATTGTAGGGATATACTGAATGCTTACAAGCCAGGCACTGTGGTAGGTACTAAGACTATAGAATTGCCTTTTTCTCATAAAGCTTTTCAATCTAGCGGGAAAGACAAGTAATTAAGCAATCGTCTATAATAACATATAGTGAAAATTGGAATAGGGGAAGAACAAAGTGCTATGGGAACATACAACAGAGGGCCCAACTTAATCGAGGGGTTAGGAAGGACCTCCCCAAATGGCATGAAAGAATTGTAAAGTACTATACTCATGTCAGGTAGGATGTTATTACTATAGATGAAACTGCCCTTGAGTTCATAGGAGGAAGCCATCGCACTGTGGAGAGTGAGGCTTCCTGGAAGAATGGAATGCTGAGCTGGACCCAACTTCTTTTTTTTTTTTTTTGAGACGGAGTTTCACTCATGTTACCCAGGCTGGAGTGCAATGGCGTGATCTCGGCTCACCGCAACCTCCGCCTCCTGGGTTCAGGCAATTCTCCTGCCTCAGCCTCCTGAGTAGCTGGGATTACAGGCACGCACCACCATGCCCAGCTAATTTTTTGTGTTTTTAGTAGAGACGGCGTTTCACCATGTTGACCAGGATGGTCTCGATCTCTTGACCTCGTGATCCACCCCCCTCGGCCTCCCAAAGTGCTGGGATTACAGGCTTGAGCCACCGCGCCTGGCCGGACCCAACTTCTTTTGATGTTGCTGACCGATCTTCATCAGGAATATGTGCCCTTCAAACTGTGTTTCCAGGATCAGAGATGGATCTGTCTTCATCTCTCCATACCCCAACTCACCTTGTTGCTATAAGAAACTGAGCACTCCAGTCCAAGAATACAAACCATGGAGAAGGAAATGCTGAAGGGAAATCTAAAAGGTCAGTGATGTTTCTAGGCAAGGCATCCATGGAAATCTGACTTCTGCTTTCAAATGCATCTGGAATCCAACCGCATCTCACCACCTCCTTTTTAACCTCCTGTCTAGACCACTCTCATTGGTCACTAGATTGCAGTGACCTTCAAATTGGTCTTCCTGTTTCTACTCATGCCCTCTTAGAATTTCTCCACCCACATTCTAGCTCCAAATTTCTGTGTTCCCGCTTTGGGCACATTGAGGTGAAGAAGACCAGTGATTTGCCAAGGAAAGAAGGGCTTACCTGAGTGTCAGGAAGGAAGCGTATGCTCCCTTAGAGGATGAGAAAACGGGTAGGGGTTGCCCACCTACTCCTCAGTGTCAACCTATGGTAGGTAAATGAACAACAGCAAATAAGTCTTCCTCTGTTGTTTTTGTATTAAAGGATTTTCAGATAAGTTGCTGCTCATTCACCCTTTTCCAGTCTCCCCTCCTCCACATTTCCCAGACATTCCCTAAGTTGTGTCCTGGCACAAACATCCCATCTCTCTGCCCCCTCATCTCTTTCCCAGCCTTTTCCTGACTCACCCTTCACAGTGTCTTCCAGCAGTGCACAAACATCCTCTTGTCTATCAAAGTCAACTTCCAAACAGTTATTGTAGTATGCCAGACCGGAGGAAGGAGCAGGGGAGCCAGCACCCTCTTTAGTCAGCCCCTGAGTATGCTGAATGGACACTCAGCATGGGTCTGCAGGGAGGATTGTTAACTTGACCCAGGCTTCAGGCACGGCTATATCCTGAAAGGATGATCTGTTTCAGGTTGTGGCATTTTTCAAATGACAGCAAGGCAAGGGACAGAGACACCATCCTTTCCAAACCTTCATTTTTTTCTTCTCCCAATTTTTATTCTGAAAATATTTCAAACCTACAGTTTAGCTGAAAGAAAAACCTCACAAAATTTATATATTATTCACCTAGATTCAGCAGTTGTGAACATTTGCTTTCTCTGTCTCCCTTTTTTTTCTCTCTTCCTCTTTCAAGATAGTTGTCTGCCTATCTGTGTATGCATGTATTCATCCATTTCTATAAGCACACACACAATGTGATGAACCCTTTGAAGGTAAATTGCGGAGAACTTGACCTATCATCTTAAACACTCTAACATATATTTCCTAAGAATAAGGCCATCATTTTTCCTATGTACTGCAATATGATTATCACACTCAAAAGATTTAACATTAGTACAATAATACTACTACCTAAGATACAATCCAGACTTTTCTAGTTGTCCTGAAAATGTCTTTGAACACTCCCCCTGCCATTCTCAAATCCAATTAAGGATTAAAAATATCTTGTTTTAACCTAGAAACTTCCAGGGCAATACCACATTTGTGAGAGGCAATATGGTTCCCAGAAACAGGGCTTTATAGCTTTATATAACTGGGTTCAAATGTCAGGTTTTTCCCAGCTATGTGACCATGGACAAATTACTTCATTTTCTCACCTCAGTGTCCTCATAATGGGAATGCTGTTACCCAGTCTAAAGATTTTGTAATGATGAAGAATAATGTAGTTTTCGTGCTTGTCAAGTAGTGGGCATTCAGGACAAGCCGCTCTTCTGGAAAGAGAAGCAGAGAAAGGAACTCAGTTGGGTTATATAAATGACTGAAAACTTGTGTTGCAGTAGCCAAACAAATAAAACTATTTCCCCTACTCAACGTAAGCCTGTAGCAAATGCCTCTTGCATATTGGAATACAAACTTTGTGGGGCAGGGATTTCCATTGTTTCATTCAGTGTTTTGTTCCCAGTGTTTGAAACATAGCTCATTAACAACTTTTGAATGAATGAATGAACAAGTGAGTAAGTACATCTTACCAGGTAAGTTACCACTTTTATGTAACTCAAAAATGCTATTCTTCACTCCCTTTTCCAGAGTTGACTTCCTCTGACATAAAGTGGTGTATCTGCCCGTTACTGCCACAGTTATTATATAATTATAATATATAATATATATTATATTATATTATATATTTATTATATATTATATAAAAGTATAATAATATATATTACTTATATATATTATTTATATATTATTATA